TTATCTGCATCTAAAATCCAAAGTAAATATCTTAATCGCCTGTTAGGTTCAGTAGATGTTTTTGAGCTGCACTACATACGCACTTTAGACGCCTAACAACAAAAACTTTGATATACAGACAGTGGGAGGAATTGGCTGGTTTACCTGGATAATGAATACTGAATAAAAATAAAATCCAATACAACATAACTGAACTTAATACTTTATAGCATATTTGTTAGGGCTTATTCACACTAAGCAATCCGTACCGTGCCTAAGCACACCTCACCCCTAAAGTCCAGGGCAATCGTGCCCAAGCACAGTACGGTACAACTTTGCCAAGCATGAATACGCCCTTAAACTCTGGCATCACAACAGAAAAGACACGGGTATGAGGGGTTGGGATAGGACCACATGTAAAGAAAAAGCATTACAAAATGTTGTGCTACACATTTTGTGTTTATTTCTTCAGATTTCCTCCAATCTGCAGCTTTTTCCTTTAAATTACTGGATCGAGTTAAGTGTTTGGTCGTCTAAACAACAGCAACAGAGAGGGAAATCATTTGGTCACAACCAAGTGGTAGACTGACTTTTAAGAGCTCACAAGCATAATAAAGGCTGACAACCATTGCAAGACAGTTAAATGCACCACCAACCCCACTCCGCAGCATCACAAATTACCACCGTGTTATCAGCCACTCTCTGACATAGTGTCAATAATAATTAAAAGTTGTACCGTCAAAGTTTTTTTTTTAACCTCAACTTTAGTTCAAGAGTCCACACAGTGAATAAACAGGCTGCTTAGTGATCGACATGTAAACACAGCATACCCTTTAAACAGAGATCCCATGTTTGTACAGATATGAACAGTAATAAGAGTTAATAAAAGATGTGATATGTACAGTAGTCTGAAATAAGCCAAGTTTACAATGAAGAGCTGGACAAAAATTCTTACCACAGGGTGCATTTACTTTGTATTTCCAAAAAGCTTTAAGCTCGACCCTTTGGTCCTCCTCAGTAGGTGTGGCGCTCAGGTGCTCTATAAAAACCTTATTGATGTCTTTAAAATGGATCTAGCTATAAAAACTATGTTGTTTAAAAAAGTTTTCCCCTGCACAATACACATGGAAAAATCATTTTTAGGTCAACCACATTATATAAAGAGAATTCATTTTCAGTTTTGCACACACAGAATCTTATGTTTCTCTTGTTTAAGACATTGGACATGACTATTAGGTGTTTTAAGTCTATAAACTGTTGTCACATTGTGCCTGTAATTATACTTTAGTTCTATAACAGCTTGACATGGGGCACTTAAAGCAGTATATCTGTCAGCCTCGCCTGAATTGAGCGCTGAAGCACTTTATTTGGAGAAACAATGTGATTTTCTTCCCATTTCGCTCTCATTGTGTCAGTCTGCTACGTCAAGAATTTGACAGCAAAATCACATCTCCGGATGTAAGAACGCGCCTTTAGGTTACAGCATCATCAGCCCCACGCATTTAAAGATGAAATTGATGGACCGCCGTTAAGGGGGGGGGGGCTCAGAGTGTTTTATATATGGCCCATCTGTGGCCTATTAAGATCTTGGCGATATGTCTGAAGCTGCTGTTTTCTTGGCATGCTTTGGCTTGTGTTCACACTCTATTATTTGTTTTAGATGAATGCTGGGGAAATGGACTCATCATGTTGACATGTTGATAATGGCTGCCCTTGAGCCTCGTGTCTTGATTTAGTGTTTAGTGTCCTAAACGCCTTTCAGGATGGAGTGCGTCCCGGGAATCATAAAACACAGGCAGAGCAAAGAGAAGCTAAATTTCAAACAAGTTGCTGTGGTTGTGTAAAAGATCGGTTGTGCTCGATATCCGATTGGAGTGTTTTGATTGCTTACATTAAAGTAACAGATCATTTTAAGTTAATCCCAGGCACATCTGTAAGGACAAACGTCTGCAAAGGTTCACATTGGCTGGATGGAGGATTATTAAATCCTCTCCCAGGGCACTGGTACCTTGCTGACTTTCTGGTAGAGGTGTTACGATACAAATTCAGGCTGAAATTTTCATTTTAAAAAAGCATATAACAACCTCATTAACTAAATTCACTGTTATCCTCAATAACCTCCCAGCTGAAAGCTGAATATTTCCATAAAAAATGTACGTGTTGGTTTTTAGCAGCTACTCGGATTAGCCTTTCATCCTGTTGCTATTTAGCTACCACTGTCAACATTTAAATACTCTGCTTTAGTTCATTCCTAGGCTCATCGCAGCGATTTAGAACCTCAGTATCAGTCCTCAGGGTAGGAAGTTAGTGTGTGTGTGTGTGTGTGTGTGTGTGTGTGTGTGTGTGTGTGTGTGTGTGTGTGTGTGTGTGTGTGTGTGTGTGTGTGTGTGTGTGTGTGTGTGTGTGTGTGTGTGTGTGTGTGTGTGTGTGTGTGTGTGTGTGTGTGTGTGTGTGTGTGTGTGTGAGTGAGAAGCAGGCAATGAGTCTTTTGCTTTTTTACATCCTTTCTATTAGTTGACTTTATGTTTCTGTGTGTGTGTGTGTGTGTGTGACAGAAAGAAGTTTCAGAGCTTCCAGGATCGTCGGCTCAGAGTGAACGAGGGAGACGCCTCATCGCTAAAGAAAGCCAGAACAGACGGGAAGTTCCACGAAGCTCTGCTTGACAGGTGTGGAAATAAGCTCCTTAGATATTTATTCTCTAACACCTTATTTACATATTTGGTTTCATCAACCCTCCTTAGGTGCTTTTTTTGTTTTTTTTATACATGAAGGAAATTGATACACTCAGGTATTTAATCCAATCTCAAAAATGAACTGAACAATCTGCATATCCTCTGACTGTACAAAGTGTCAAAATAAAATGATCACTAATTGTCATGCAGTTAAGTTGATTTATAAAACAGGTATTTGGGAGTATTATTATATTTTCAATAATAATAACATGTAATTATTTTTTTTCTATTTAAGGAGGAGCAAGATGAAAGCGGACAGATACTGCAAGTGAAGACTCAACTTTGTAGAGTACTCTAATGTCTTTGTAATAATCTTGATTTTTTTAATAGATTTAGCCATTTGATCTTACTTTTATTGTAGTCTTTTGTTTTTTATGAATTCAAATAAAATAACATGGTCAATGCAGGCTTGTTGTCTTTTTTTCATTATAATTGATTCTTCTGATGATTTTCTTAGAATTCAGGTGACACAATGGCCTTATGTTTGAACTGTAAAAATAATCAACCAATCTTTATTTGTACAGTGCCAATTCATAACAAATGTTATCTCAAGACACTTTTCAAGAGGAAGCAGATAAAAGGGCTTCGTCTTTGTCATATAATCTATAAGCTATAAGACGGATAGCTACAAACAGCAGCAACAACAACAATGAAAAAGATAGATGTATAGCAACAATGTCAATATAATGGTAAAAGTATAGATTTGGCATTAACAGCTAAGTATGATAGTACTGATCAGTCTTCACATTACTGTAAAGCAGTGAAACAGGGAGGACTGATTATGTTAATTATAGAGGTTGTAGCTGAGCAGCTCTTTGACTTAATTTTAATATTTATAATGATAATAGATGGTGTCTGTCATTTCTATATGCTGTAAAGCTGGAGACATATTTACCTTTGGGTTATAGATTGCCCTGTGTTTTGGCATGACTCAACAGGATTTGTATATGAATGTACACTGATCGGCTGGTGAGTATAATGTAACAAACTGACTTGAAAAACTCAGAGAAAACCACTGCAACAACTGACCTTTAATTGTGTTTGGTCTTTTTAAATTGATTTTGGGATGTTTGTCAAGAAGTTATGTAACAAAAATGTCACCCACAAAATCACAATCATTCATTTGCACAAATTAAACTTTTGGGGAAATGAGAGAAAAGGAATTTTACCCTTCAGCCCATCCCCTTGTTAACTTCATGGCCAAAAGTGTACAGAGCTCAAATCAGGGTAAGGTGCCAGCTCGTCCAGTTCTTTCACTCCTGCCACTGAAATGAAAGATGTTTTCGTTGTTTTTTTACATCTTTATGTCTGGGGCTTGTCATGTTTAAGCAAGAACAGGGCCTTCCTTCAAGTGTTGCAATTTCACATGTATCAAGACAACCCATTACATTTTAGAATGTGAATGTTAGTTTCCAGGAAATATCTGACTTATTCTTCACTTTGACCAATATTTGTTGAAGAGGTGCTGTGTCCTAAAGAAAGCAAAACTAACAGTGAAAACTTATATTCAGCAAAAAAAAAAAAAAAACTCGAAATAAGAATGCAAGTAAACCAACTTTGAAACTTTCTGCATGTTTCTAGAGATCTAATGCTTATTTTATACTGAATTATTCTGTAAATACTGTATACATATATTTTAAACAACATGAAGTTTTGTATTATGTTGTTGTTTCATTCCTAACTACTTAATCAAATGGATCATCTTTTTTTCCTTATTTAAGATCTATGCTTTTTATTATTATTATTATTTATATTATTTGAACTTTTCAAGCCTAAAACACTTGGTACATGAACATTTGTGTTCTTTAACCTCATAGTCATCTGATATATATTTCAGTACATAGTGTTCAATCAGATAGGAAAGTGGAGGAAACTTTCTACTGAACCGAATTTAAAGTTCAGTAAGGTAAATAAATGTTACTGTGGGAAACGATTAGATCAAATCAAATTCGGACTAGTCATGTGTGCGCCGCAGGAGGAAATAAAACAAAAATAACCACGAGGGGTCATGTTATTTATTTTCAGTTCCCTGTGGAAAGAACCACTGGCCCGTCTGTGTGTAGGGTTGCTTTGTGTGCCATACTTCGTCTTTGTGTCGAAGGCTGAAGCTTTAATGGCAAAAAAACAAAACACAAATGAGTTGATCATATTAATTGTATAAAAAGAACGAGGATTATTGTACATTTACATGTGTTTTGGGCATTTAATGTAGCTTTTAGAGCTTCCGGTTTCCCCTCTCTCTGCTGAAAGTGAGGTCACCGTCACGGGATAAACAGATGCAGCTTCCGCAGTAAACTTCATGTTAAAACCTCCTCATAGCGAAGGACGACGTCGTGGGTGAAATTGTGCAAAAATGGGTCATTCTGCTTTTTTTATTTTAGCGGTGTTTTTATCCATAGCGTCGGCCCAGTTCATACCACCGGTAAGCGACATTTTTGCGTTGTCTTTTTTTGCTGTTTCACACATGAGCTGTATTTATTGTTTGGACTCTGAAGTCACAAACCTCCAACTCTACATCTGTATTTATTTCTTTATTTTAAGTATACAGAAGACTGTCGGGCTGACATGTATCCACCAAAGGGTCCCACGTAAGTATTGATAGGCTGTTACTGTTGTCTCTTTGTTGTTAGTAAGGTAACCATGTGATTTTGTTTTGTAACACCTGTACTTCACTGAGTCATCTTCACTTCTCATCATAAACTTGAACAACCTAATTCACAAGCTGCAGCGAGAAGCCTATAATGTTATATTGGCTATGTATGTGAGTTTTGCTGGAAAAGGTGAACATAATGGACATTTTAGATAGATGAAATGTCATATAATTTTTTTATTTTATTTATTTGTTAGGGACAATGCATATTAATGAACTGCTGTAACAATTACAGCTGTAAAAATGCCAGATTATAGCAGAAGTGCTAGTTTCCATCTGTTGTCCCTAGGCAGGTAAGAGAAAGATAAAATACAAATACAAAGGCACAAGTGACACAAGACAATAATAGAGGTTAAAGGTTAAAGGTGGTCACAGACTTGGGTTTTCTTTTATCCACTGTTGGAGGTGTGTTTTGAAGGATGCACATGTTTGTGAGTCTCTTATTGTGAGTGGGAGAATATTCCAGTATTTAGTTCCAGAACAGTTTGTCCGGATGTAGTGCGTCTGCGTGGGACCTCACAGACTCCTCGGGCTGTGGCCCCTGGTGCCGATCCCGCTGGCAGACTTCAGCTTTTATTAGAGGAGAAGACATGTAGGGTGCATAAAAGGCATGATTCATGATTGTTATTTTTTGATTGCTAAGTTTTTGGGTAAAGCCTGCCAACAGCTGTATAAATAAATTGCACTTTTTCATAAACAAGAAAATATCCCTGCTAGGCTAGAAAATGTTAGGGTTGTTCTGTTGATGCAGGAAGTTGTTGTTCCCACTCTAGATTACATCAAAAATCATGTCTGATCATTGAGGTTGAGTAATGGACCATTTTCAATGCATTATTCATTTAATAACATCTCCACTCTATTCAGATAATAAAATAAGATAAGATATACTTTATTCATCCCAGCAGGGAAATTGAGGTGTTCCAGCAGCCAGCATACATACAAACACACAACACAACACATATATACATACATATCCCACCCATACAAAAAAAAACATGAGCCCACAATACATATCCAGGATAAAAAGTGGTATGGATGGTCCATGTGCATAAGTAGCTGTTACTCATAGATAACAGTACAAAATACTAACTCTGCCAGCGCATAGTATGATAGATAAATAAAGAATTATTATTAAAAAAGCAGGTGCAAAATACAGTTTGATATATGCAGCTCAGGCTAAAAAATTCAGGTATCCCTGAATTTTATAACCTCAATATTCAGGTACAGAGGAGGTGTCAGCTGGTACACGGTGGACCTCGACCTGCCCCCCAGCAAGAGATGGACAGCTCTGATTACTGACAAGAAAACCGAAGTAAGAACAATACCAAGGACTTCAATATAAAAAGAGTCAGTCTCATACAAATATCTGACTCATAATTGTTCTCTCTTTTCAGCTGGTCAGCATGGTTCAGGCAATCAAAGACTTGGCTGATATGTTTGTGCCCAGCGGCAGACTGACAGAGTTGGTTGACTTAACACTGGTGAGCATCATCATCATCTCTCTCTCTCATCATTTCTTCTTTAAAATAACCGACTGTCACGGAAACCTTCACAACTGTTTGTTCCTTGCTGTTCTGTAGCCTTTAATGGCGAGCACACTCCCAGAGCCTTTTGGTGATGAACTCAAAGGAATCGCAGACGTTTCAGGCATTGCTCTCGGTAAGAAAATGAGACTTAAGTAAATCATGTAAAAAAGAAAATCAAATTCTCTCTGCACCATTTTTTTTTTAAAAATGTTCCTTACGCATGTAATCCAGGTGAAATCGTCTTGTTCAACATCTTCTACGAGGTGTTCACTGTGTGCACATCAGTTGTTGCAGAAGACACTAAGGGTAAGTTATAGTCTGAAGAGTAATAGTTCACAAGTTATTTAAGGTTCATTAACTTAAAATAATTGAGTATTGATACTGAAATGTTTTCCTCTTCTTATAGGCAACCTGATTCATGGTAGAAATCTGGACTTTGGCTTATTTATGGGGTAAAAATCAAATTTTTTTTTTTAGCCTGCTAGTCGTGACTCAGATCCTACAAAGTAACTTCTCATGAGATAAACATTCCCTCCTTCACAGCTGGGATGTGAAAAATAAGTCATGGATCATTAGTGAGAAGCTGAAGCCTCTGGTGGTCAACCTCGACTTCAAGAGAAACAACCAGACGGTCTTTAAGTCGACAAACTTTGCTGGATATGTTGGCATGCTGACTGGTATCAAGCCTGTAAGTCATTCATTGTTATATAACTGAGAGTTCAGTAAGCATAAAACATTATTTAGCATCAGTGACTGCTGCTGAGTTTGTTGAGACTTCTTGCACATTTTTGGATGCAAAAAAAGATTTAAAGCATTTTTCATATTCCTGTCACAGCAACTTTTCACTCTGACTATGAACGAACGCTTCAGCATCGATGGCGGGTACATCGGTGAGTCATCAACTTTTTGACTCAGGAAAACAGAGATACATTTGGATACCTTTTTCGACTACAGTTCTTCACATTCATCTGTTCTTGCAGGAATCCTGGAGTGGATCTTCGGGAACAGAGAAGGCAAGTGGATGAGCTTTCTCACTCGCTCTGTCCTAGAAAACGCAAACAGGTATTCCTCTCTATACTTGAGTTATTTTAGGAGTGTTTGTTTCTGTAAGCAGCTCCCTGTATCAGTTGTCTTATGTTAAAGCAGGATAAACATGGGTTACACTCGAGCAACACAAGCGTGATGAAACTTTTGAAACTTTTATATCATTTAATTTGATAAAAAAATCTGTGGCAAACAGAAATTATTTAGGCTGTGACTCTCAAAAACAGGGTTCAATCACTCCAATCACGGGACTCCAGTTTTTCTGCATGATTCAGTTTTGAATACGATTTTTGGTGCAAAAGTTGAATGCTCCTTCTGGGTGTCAAACCATTATTTTTATGAGACTTGTCCTGTTGTCTCTAGCTATGAAGAAGCCAAAGCCCGCCTGGCTCAGACCAAGCTGCTGGCTCCGGCCTACTTCATCCTCGGAGGAAACAGCACAGGCCAGGGCTGCATCATCACCAGGTCCAGAGTGCTCAGTCTTGATATCTTGGAGTAAGTAATCAGGATAATGTGTCACTTTTTAAAGCTTTTAATCTCAAATAAACAGTTTGTTTGTAATCTTGGATACAGAGATGTCTGTGGCTATATTTTAATATCTTATACTTAGTCTTTTTGGATTAAAAATGGCTATGATAGCTACATCAGAGCTTTGTGTTTGGGGGCTACAGTAGCTCAGTCCATCGGGACTTGGGTTTGGGAACTGGAGGATCGCTGATTAAACCAAAAGTATGGACGGAAGTAGAAATTAAGAATTGTTCTGGTGGCTGGAGAGGTGCCAGTTCACTTGATGAGTACTGCTGACAAGCCCTTGAGCAAGGCACCGAACCCCCCCACACTGCTCAGGGCTCCCCTGTGTGCAGCCCTCACATTCTGACATGTCTTCACTTAATGCATGACCATAGGATCCTGTTTGGGACCCATGTGTTTGATGTCTCTAAATATCTGAGTGTAAATCTGTATTTCCCCTCTGAGATTATTAAAGTATATAATAAAACCTTACTTTTTTATATCAACTATCAAAAGTACAACGGATAGCAGTGATTTGTTCGTGACTGATTGAGCTTTTCACATTGATTTATATAATATGACTATTTTCAATAAGTTAGTCTTCAATTTGTTGCTATGAAAAAAGGCATGACGTTGCAATATTTTGCCTGAAGAGTGACATGTTTTATCCTGCATATGATATAGCCCTGACATACATTGGTTTGGTTTTGAGTTTGTTTGATTTTGAGAAGTTTATTAGGACAAATCACCACTGAAGGACGTTGTTGTTGTTGTTGCTCAATGCTGTCTCAGAGTCACCATGACACAGCTTTTCAAGTGTTTCTCTAAAAAAAAGAAAACAGTCCCTAAAAAAAAAAAAAAAAAGTGACAGTTTTGGTTTCAGGTCACCTGATTCAACTCCATTTCACAAATCAGTTCCTGATAGTAGCCGCATGGCTCATTTTTAACTTTATTTGCTGTATTTCAGGATCGACCTGAAACTGGGCCGGTGGTACGTTCTGGAGACAAACTACGATCACTGGAAGGCGCCATTGTTCCTGGACGATCGCAGAACTCCAGCCATGAAGTGCATGAACAAGACCACACAGACAGTGAGTACTTAAGACACACACACACACACACACACACACACACACACACACACACACACACACAATACCTCTGCATGACTCTACACTTTACTGTCTCTAATAAGAGGATGTTAGGGTTTCAAAGAAGAACAAGCTAATCTTGTCAGTCATGTGACTGAAGGTCTAAATCTTAGGTGTGACTCTTTATGTTCCTGTTTTATTAAAGTGTTTTATCACTTCTTATTTTTTTAGGGTATCTCTCTAAAGACCATGTATGACATGCTCTCAACCAAACCAGTGCTAAACAAGGTGAGTGTCTTTTGATTGTATAATTACACACCACATTTTTGAGTAATTCACTGTAATAAAGTTATTTTTCTGGGTTTTAACAGTTGACTACATACACAACACTGATGCAAGTGTCCAAGGGAAATCTGGAGTCGTATATTCGTGACTGTCCGAACCCGTGCATGCCATGGTAACATTCAAACCGCTGAACCCCCATCAGTTTGTCAAAGCTTACCTGCATGGAGAAGCTGTGTTGGAAACAAGCTCAGCCGATGTCAGCGCAAAATTTAAGGGTTATTCTTAGTGTTTGCACAGCTGCCAATCACCTAAACCAAAGTGTGATGATGTCAATCGTCCCCCCCCCCCCAGCAATTAGGGTCTGCTTAAAGCTTGCAATAAACTCTAATTGCAAATGTTTGTCTTTTAAGGGACTCTTGTACAAATGTGAAACTTGGGTTTCCTTCTTTGATGTTTACTGTTAATATGGGATGGTTAATCTGCAGGATGAGAGAACTGGGAGTTAAATGTTTGTGTAGACTACTGTAAAATAATTTGTCTAATTTAGCAAACTTAGCCCACCCTCACCATTGTGTGCCTCCGCACTGTGTGACCCAGCATGAGTGTTTCTTTAACTCTGACTTAGTGACTTAGTGACTTAGTGACTCTGACTCTTAAGTTACAGGTTCTGTTTCAACACCTGACTGACCATTTCACACACTGTAACTGACCAATGTACCTCTCAGATGGCTTTTTTGAAAATGTATAATAGATGTTTAATAAAAGGATTCACAGATTTTTCCCAATGTTTCAGATTTTTTATTTTTTATTTTTTATTTTTTACTGTTATATTTTTGATTTAAAAAAAAAAATAGATATCGCTGGTCCATGAATTTAAGATTTCATTTTTTGATTATAAAATTTAACGAATGTGAGAGGAGCCAGTCAAAAGGCAGGATATGGGGATGTCTGTTTTCAAACCAATGGTCTATAACTGAAGGTATTCTGTTTACTAACATGATCGGATTTGACTAATGATGCCACGCTGCAAATGCCAACCACTTCATGGTCTTCATATGACAGCATCAAATCTTAAAGCTCCTGAGGAACTTTTGATTTGTTCATTTTGGCGCCCCCTTGTGGACAAAGTGGTTACTTATTTCTGGTGTTTTCAGACAAAAAATTGCATCCTGCCTTTTTTTTTTTTTTTTAAGTCATTCATTGGGAATCACTGATGTTTAAATATAAACAAAGGCTATTTGTGCAGGGTTCTGTTAGTCACTTCATCTAACACCTACCCTGCAGCATTGTTACAGACATTAAAAAGAACCATTTAGACATATTCAAGCTCATCACTCAATGTTCTCGTTGCCGTCTGTCGTTCATAGAGATCAGTAATCATTTTAGTTTGTATTATAACCAGCTGAAAACTTCTCCAGGAAGCTTTAATTACTCAATATATGGGGAGTAAATTGGCACAACAGTATATTGGTATATTTACAGTTTTGGAAACCAAAAGTTGCCTGCTAATTGTTTGCTTTTTTTTAGTAAGTGTTCAGCCTAATAAGAGGCAGGGGAATAGCATTGCCTATTGAGAACTAAAACATTCTGCAGTAGTGTTAACCCCACTCCCCAGTTTAGAGCAAATGTAACATTCACCTGAGGCAGGTTGATTTTTCAGTTAGTGTAACTGTAAAATAAGTTGGTAAAGGCATTCTTCAAACGCATTAGACATGAGAATATGGAAAATTACTCAGCACACCGTCATGTTTGAGAAGTATTTTATATCCATATTTTATTATTTAAAACTGATTACTGTAGTTGACATTTTAATTACAGAAAAATGAATGAAGATAGACAAAAAAAAACAGTTTATAAAGATTAGTCTGAAGGGATAAAAGTTAAGCTTGAGCTCTAAAAATGAAGGAATAAGTGGAGAAACAATTAAGCAGTCTTAATGATATCTCTTTATAGGCAGCAATCAAGTACAGAAGAGACGAGCTATACAGTACTAAGGCCAAGCAAAAAGACACATTTAATTAAAAACAATTAAAATAAACAAATCACAACTTAAGTCAGACTGATCCCAGAACCAAGAACAGTGCTAAGGCGGATCAGAAGAGCAATTTCATTACTTAAGAGATTCAACAAAAGCTTTAACTGTTAACTGTCATCAGTAGCAAAGAGACAAAGCCCTCCCCAGATTTCCCACAAATCACATGAAATATTCAGGCATAAATGAAATTAGGTTTTGATTATATGTTTGTGTGTGTCAGGGTCACAGTTAGGACAGATATTACTAGATTTTGCTCCTTTTAAAAAGCACAGAACAATCAACTATCATATATACAGAACAGATGTGAGTGTTTATGTATAGTGTTGCTATAATCAGTACATCTTCAGATATCAAAATAAATCTTTACACGCCCTGTGCACCAACTGTTCCTGAAAAAAACAAAGAAAACACAAGTTAGTCTTGTTGGATATGGAGCTAAAAATGTAGCAAAACTTTCAAATGTATAAATAGATCCACAAATGCGTTCAGAGATCTGCACAAAGTAATTTGTCTATACCGGGTTCCTTCAAAGCATGTGCGTTTCCCACAAGCCCAGTCAGCGATTCAGTGTTTCCATTCAGGATCTCCACAGATAGGTTGTTATTCTGCTGCTCCTCCACTATTCTCTTCTGTAGCTCCTCCTAATGTTACACAACACCGTTTATTGTTAGATAGAAGATGTTTTAAACCTCGACTTTCTTGTAAATCACAAAGAATTTAAGCATATTTATGTGTGTGCTTTTACACACCTCACACATGACTGAAAGCTGCAGTGGCAGGTCATCCACCTTCACAAAGTCTTCTTCATCAGATTTCTGACTGGTGTTCCCCGAGCCAACCTCCTGCAGATCAAAATCAGCAGCAGGTTGAGTCATGATGCACTTCAAAAAAAGTTACTTTACTTCTGTAAAAAGTTCCTGGTTAGCTATTCTAAATGTTGCATCTTCTGCCATCAGGCTTAAACCTGGATAGTCACTGGGAATGAAAATGTAATTGTTTCCTTGTTCTTGTGTTTAAGCACATACTTGTAATTCTTAGGGGCAGTGGCCTGTAAATACATTCTTTTTATGTCGTCTTAAAATGGAATGTGCAATAAACTGTTTATTTTGTATATTTGCCTGGCATCGTTTGTGGTGCCACACAAGGGTACCAGCGTGAACCTGTGTCAATGTACTGATTTCTTGATTGTCTCTGATATACTCCTGTCGACTGTTTGTTTTTAAAATGTATGTAGGTCCGGGTAGAATGTTTAAAAAACAAAACAATAAAGTTATCTGTATCCGAGTGAGAATCTGAATAAACTTCTTCAGCCTTGAACTTACATCTACGTTGATCATGACAGGGGAGTCAGTATCAGGGCTACTCGTGGTGTTTGACTCCTTTGGGACATCCTGATCATGGGAGGCTGCAGACTCTCCTTCTGAAGCAGCAGCTGCCCGGAGTTGACTCTCCTTCTCTGGACTCTGACATTCGGACATGTCACAGTCCTCTGCTGTGGAATCCACGGTGCCACCTGACCTGATGGTTTCTGCAAAGCAAAACAAAATAGTTTAGTAAAAGGTTTAGAAAAACAAGATTTCTAAAAGACAAAAAGCTAGTTTGACATCTTCAAATTTGAAGAAACTTTCAACATAAAAAGAATCACCTCCGTCATTCTCTGGACGATTCTGGGCAGTTTTGGACTCTTGTGTTTTGCTGGGTGCTGTCGCCTGAAGCATGACATGAAAAACAAGTGAGACTTAGAAAAAAAAAAAAATGTTTTGTTGAAAAATGGTGGTCTATTGAAAAACATCTCATTGCAACAACTGCAACACTGACCTCCTGCTCCACTTGTCCATCAGCAGACACCTGCAAAGATGTTTGGACGTCAACAGGTCCAGCTTCAAACTCCTCCATTTCCTCCTCCTCATTCTCATCCTCTCCACTGCCATAGTTTGTCAAAGCCTGAGTCTCTGCTTTGGAAAGACCTGAAGAAGAAAACAAAAATTACAAAAATGAGCAACATGAGTGTTACATAAACTCAACTTTATTTATATAGAACTTTACACACAACGTTGTAAAAAATATCTCAGACTACAATCAAATCTGGCTTCTTAAGGAAGCTGCCCGTGCGAGTTTCCCTTCCAACTTTATTATCTTACTGATTGAAAGAGGCATTCCCTGTCCCTCTCCTTCATCCTCTTCTTCCTCTTCAACCTCAGAAGCTTCCCTGCTCCCGCTGTTCTTCCTCTCTGCTTGCAGGTAATGCTCCTTCAGAGTAGAATCAGCTTCCTGCTCAGCCTCTTCTTGGTCCTGGAGATAAGACGAAGACATCGTTGTAGTACAGATTACTGCAGCGCTAATTGCTATTGACAATTACATTATCAGCACTTCAATGACTGACCTTGTCTTCATCAGAGTAAGCTGGGGAAACGGATCTATCTCTGCCAGTGTCTGTGTTTTCCTAATTAGAGGAATTCATTTAACACAGAGCAAAATGAGTCTTTCAAACTCATTTCAGTGAAAACAGTCTTAACAGTATGTTCACTATTTACCAAAACATCAAAGTGGGAATAGGAAACCAACCTTGAGACTTTGATTTGCTTTACTGGGTTGCTCGTCCCTCTTTTTATTCTTGTGTTTGGCTGCCAAGGCCATGCTGCTGCTGTTATCCAAATCCTGCATGAGCCTGAAGAAAGCGAGTTCATTGAAGAGGATCTCAGAGATCTCCACCAGGAGGTCCTCCCCGCAGTCTTTCAGAGTGCGGCCCACAAATTTACTGAGAGATTCCTGGAGCAAGAGGAAAGAGAGAGACATGTCAGAGATGCCGTTTCGTTCATTTGATCTGCATAAACTTGGCCAGAACCCGACGTTGGCAGTGTTCGTACAGTACCTGCAGTATGCCTCCAAGCTGTCTGTGGAAAAAGCGGACAAACTCTTTGCTTTCATCGTTCTGTTGGGTGAGAGTGAGAACCATGCGCCGCACAGATGTCAAAAGCTGGACGGAACACACCTCATCCATGTTCTCCTAATAGAAGAAAAACACCAATATTACGGAGAGATTTCACTCTTTAAAACTGCTTTCATTTACACTGGAAATAGGTACTGACTACATTCAACTCCAGGCTTAATACTTTCCGGAATTTTAATAAGAAATTCAGATTATTTTCAATCCCAGGACATTTCCTGCTGGTACAAAGCTTTTATTGATTCATGCTGCAGCTCCCTGAGTAAGTTCTCTCACCTTCAGGAAAGGAATGACTTCTGTCATGATGGCTTTGATCTGACGATCCAACTGCTGGGTGTCAATCTGAGGGCAGTGCACATCACCAGCTGCTCCGCCTGTTCACAGACATCAAAAACATCATCAGGTTATTGAAAAAAAAAGAACAATCGGCCAAATAACAGGCAACCGTTGTGTTGTGCTGGTGTTAGCACATGGTGAACTCAGTCAGGCTTTTTCATTTGGTACCTTCCACTTGGTCAGCAGGGTTAGCAGAGAGATGTTCAGCGTTTGAGACTTCAGAGCCACCTGCACCTGCAGTGTTGGCCTTGCAGGGGTTAAACTCAGCCTTAAGTTTCATGCGCTCATATTCCCTAATCCTGGCCAGAGCCTTGTCTAAATGTATCACCGTGTTTCCTATCAGAGCAGCAAAGGAGGGAGAGCAGGGGAGGGAGCGGGCGGAAAAAAAGAAACAGAAATGGCATCCAGAAAGTTTAAAACTCAATGAAGCAAGAGAGAGAGGGAGAAGACTGTCATGGATAA